ATATATATATAATATAAACAGTTGTGCTCATAAGTTTACATACCCTGGCAGAATTTATGATTTCCTGAATATGAATGATAACATGAAAACCTTTCTGTCACTCATGGGTAGTGTTTGGCTGGAGCCATTTATCAATCAACTGTGTTTACTCTGTTTCAATCATAATGACAACAGAAACTACCCAAATTACCCTGATCAAAAGTTTACATACCCTGGTGATTTTGGCCTGATAACATGCACACAGGTTGACACAAAGGGGTGTGAATGGCTATTAAAGGGAACTATCCTCACCTGTGATCTGTTTGCATGTAATCATGGTGTGTGTATAAAGGCCAATTAGTTTCTGGCCTCCTGACAGACCCTTGCATCCTTCATCCAGTGCTGCACTGACGTGTCTGGATTCTGAGTCATGGGGAAAGCAAAAGAATTGTCAAAGGACCTGCGGGAAAAGGTAGTTGAACTGTATAGAACAGGAAAGGGATATAAAAAGATATCCAAGGAATTGAGAATACCAATCAGCAGTGTTCAAACTCTAATCAAGAAGTAGAACATGAGGGGTTCTGTTGAAACCAAACCACGATCTGCTAAACTGTCAGCCACAACTGCCAGGAAAATTGTTCGGGATGCACAGAAAATCCCACAAATAACTTCAGGTGAAATACAGGACACTCTGAAAACATGTAGTGTGGCTGTTGCAAGATGCACAATAAGGAGGCACTTTAATAAAGATGGGCTGCATGGTCGAGTCGCCAGAAGAAAGCCATTACTACGCAAATGCCACAAAGTATCCCGCTTACAATACGCCAAACAGCACAGAGACAAGCCTCAAACCTTCTGGCACAATGTCATTTGGAGTGATGAGACCACAATTGAGCTTTTCGGCCACAACCATAAACGTTACATTTGGAGAGGAGTCAACAAGGCCTATGATGAAAAGTACACCATTCATACTGTGAAACATGGAGGTGGGTCGCTGATGTTTTGGGGATGTGTGAGCTACAAAGAATACATACATACATACATACATACATACAATTACCGGGATAGTAAATTCAAGCAGAATTCCAGGCTCTATCTCAACTCATCATTCTGATTTGAAGGCACATAGCAATGAGCACAGGAGAAGACAAATGGAAGGTACAGCGATAGTAGCATATTAAAGGAGAACTATGAGATGAGTGATTTCCACTCACCTCATAGTTCTAAGCCGACCTGTGACAATGAGACTGTCACAGGTCGGCTCGGGAGGTGAGGGAACACATACCGGGTTCCCTCACCTCTCGATCCTGTCACGGCTCTCTGCCGTGACGGGGGGAGGGGCTGGATTCCCCTCTCCCCGCTCCGATCTGCCAGCGCTGACTGGCGGAACGGACGGGGGAGGGGGCGGGTACAGCTGGCTCTGCCTCTAGATAGGCAGAGCCAGCTGTCACTCACGCAGCTGGGCGGATCCCGTCAGCTACGTCGGGATCCGCTCCAGGCGCGGCGTCTCAGTATACCGCGAGCTGTAGCTCGCGGTATACTGAGCTTAGGGTAACGGGAGGACGCTAGTTTGTGTCCTCCCATTACCCCAAGGAGAACTATGGGGAAAAACACTGACCCCATAGTTCTCCTTTAATATGCTGAAGCTGGAGTTTAGCTTCAACTTATGAGGGGGAAAATGGCTCAACTCCCACTACAAACTCTTTCTGTTTGTTCAACAAACACGAAATCATACAGTTTAAGTCCAACATGTTGATTGTAGCCTGGAATGTGTAGTTGCTAGCTGCCTGGAATA